TGAGAAATCGAAGCGAGCTAATCCGATATCCTCTATCGCTCTTTCTTTCGATCTCTACTCTGTCTGTCTGGTGAACACGTTTGTGCTTTTATCGAGAAGACGGTCGGTGACAGTGAGGAATCAGCTGATCGTTTAGGGGCGCCACGCTACTCTTATCCTCTATTGCGCCGCGCGTTCTCTCTGTCTATCCTAGTGACAGCTCTTCCCCCCGTAACAGCACACACACACACACATACGCACATATACACACGGCAAGTACACCACGCGGTCCACCGGCTGTGTTTAGCTTTCCCGCCAACCACCATCCGCAGCTCCTGGCATGCTTCGAATCAGTGTGTGTATGTGTGTAAGTCGTCTTCCGTCACCTTTTGGCTCTCCCCGTTGTTCCGTGACCACCTCCGAACCGATACGACGGGACAGTGCGCCGAACGATCTCACATCCCTGGGCTGTGGTGGAAACCTCGACGCGCGATCCTCTCCATCATCAGGGACCATCCAGTGTGTCATACATATGTGTGTTCTATCCGGTTTGTTGGTTGTTGTTTTCGTGTGAACATGGACTGTGCTCGTTAGGTGACAATTCCTAATGGGAACCGATGTGATCGATTACCGCCGCGGAGTCTTTATCATCGGCAGGACACACCAGGCCTCTGTCTTCAGTGTCTTCTTTCTGTCTCTCTCGCTCTCGCTCTCCCCGCCCCCTCTCTCTCCCTCTTTCTCACTCTCAGGGACGAGTGGTATTGAGACGTGAGATAACAAAATTTATCCCGGTCTACGTGTTCCTGATGAAAATGGTTCGTACATATTTAAACATTTAACGCGAGACGTCGTACGAAAACAAAATCTTGGCTCCTTCCTATCCTAATTAAGACGACAGGACGTAGTCGACCAAGAAGCTGTTTCGTTGACGGGTCACTTTGAATTCGAATGTTCCCGTACGGTTTATATATCAAGAGAAATTTAGAGACTTTAGAGTCACTGAATTCCACGTACAGCCATCGGCCATCGAAGTGATTAGGGTAATCGGAACCAATCGAAACTCTGCTTTGTACCCACGTATATGCAGTTCGAGAGAGGAAGCTATGGAAAAAAGTAACGATTAACTGTGAACGGTACGCACGGTTCGCCAGAAATCCGTACAATTCTTTTTTTTTTCTCTCACTCTCTGCGCACCACTCGCGAACACGTGCGGAGTTTGACAACAAACTTGCGACGAGTTTTCGACGGGCGCACAGTGGCGTAGCGCGGTTCCGCGAAGCCTGAGGATCCGTTTGACCCCTTGTCGAACAGGGGCTCGTAACGGTTTTCATGGAAGCTTACAGTGATTCGCACATTCGTTCGCATACTTTCGAAACAATAACTAATTGCAAAGATTTTTCAACAATCCCATTTATGTATTTTCACATCATTTCTCTGATGAATTTTGTTTTATTTCGAAGTAAAGTTCACAGTTTGATAAATAATTTGGTCGAACAGATGTGACAGGTCTTTCGTGAACACGTTTGTGAGTCACTGTATACAGGTTCAAGTAATTTACGCAAACTGACTTGTGCATTCACATTTGCACACGCAAATCGTTGCATTTAACTGGAAGCTAACGACCCTGGCCAAATAATTACTATTACTTGGCTTATTGTGTAATAACTAATTGTAGTTTATTCTTTATATGTATATAAAATAACTGTGCAAGATAGACTGAACGTGTAATTCATAAGTCAGTTTGCGGAAATTATCTGAGCGTGTAAACGGACTTGAAATATGTGGAATACAACGACTCACCGTGGAGGCTAACATCTCTGGCCAAATAATTACCATTAAGTTTCTTATTGTTTAAAAAATAATTATAATTGCCGAAAGTATGGGACCAGAGTTTATGATTGATGGAACAGTAACTCAGTAATTCTGTTACGATATAATAAAAGTTACAGAATCAGTGCATACGGGAATCGTTTCCAATCAGTTTTAGTACATTACTTTTGTCTAATCTTTATAGAATAATATTTTTCTCTTTCTTTAATCATGAAAACCTTGTCCCATACTTTCTTGGTCGGTAGTGTATACATATACATAACATAACTCAGAGTTGAGCACAATTTTATTCAACTAATACGTAGTGAAAAGCAACAGTATCGAAGGTCATTATTCTGAGCTTGAAACAGTTACTGAGATTAAACAATTGTTTCCCAAATGTCGATTTATTCAAGAAGAAGTACTGTTTGATTATAAAAATTGGAATTTCTACGTTTAAACGATGAAAAATAACGAAGTACCTTTTTTCTTATCTTTTATTCGTTCTTCGAAACTCTTCATCTAGATAATGAATTTGCCCATCTCTGATATAATTCTGCAGGATAGATTGAACGTGTAATGTACAAGTCAATTTGCGCAATTTACTCGAACGTGAAAACTAGCATTTTTGACTAATTCGTTGGTTTGAAACCAGGACGTGACTGACGGACGCGTTATCACGGCTCGAATCGGTGTTTTTTCACCCGTCGCGATTTTGACGCGACTTGGCCCGCGAAAATTCGTGCTCGATCGACGGATTAATCGTCGCTCTACGCGCTGTTTACCCGTGGCTGCACGACCACCGCAGCTCCAGGTCCCCCCGGATCGAAAAGGAATTCGAGTTATGGGTCGAGTTTTATTGACGAGAATCGATAGACAGCAACGCGCATTGTGTTCGAAAGACAGTCCCGGCCTGGAATCGTAAACATCGCGGCAGGGTGAACCGCGAGCCTAGGCGACAAAAGTTTGTGTGTGTGTGTGTGCGTGCAGAAATTCACGAATCACACACGGTTGCGTGAAATTTCTCGATCGCAAAATTAGGCGGGAATTCACCTCGATATGCTATTCCATTGTTTTCCCGCGGATTTTTGTACGTGATTTCGTACGTGTGGTACAGTTTTCAATGAGAGACTTTGATTGTCACGGTCGATCGACAATGTGTACTTATTTTGTGAAGAATGGACAGTGTGGAAATATTTAATGTTTCATTGTCATGGACGGAAACGATGTAAAGATACCGTTTGGATCCGTCTTCACGTACGACGATCTTCGTGAGTTCTTTTTCACTAAACGTTTAACCGACTTTAAGGATTATTTTCACTGTGACAATGCTTCGAAATTCGTACAGACGAACGTGTTGTTGTATTAGGGTATGTTGGAGAACGTGGATTAATACAGTTCGATTTTAACGTATGCTCCGTACTGTCATTGAGACGAATTTTCACAAATTCGTATGAAAATGTACCTAATTTCATTCGTAACATAATGGTCAAATTGTTTCCCATGATGTTATGAATGTTAAGCAAACATATGAGAAATAGTAAGTTTATTTCCAACTTCTCGTTTAATTTTGAACACCAGCATGGACACTTTATTGAATAATTGTTTCTACAGTGTTGATTAAACGTAATAAGTTTTGGAAAATACCATTTTATAATCCATTTTTTTGAACATTACCATATTATAACAAGTGATTTCGGTTACCAGCGCTAATATCTGTGAAACAGCTGCAATTTTGTCTAATGTAAAGTACACTCTGCACTTTAAATGTTCCGAAGCCTTAATTTTATTACTCGATGTCAATGTAAACAACTGAAATACTAGTAAATATGTTACAGTCATGAATTCGATAGACTTGATATTGTCGCACTGTCAATAATAAATTATATGTTTAATAAAAGGGGGAGAGTGGTACAAAAAATCAGGTGTTTAGAGACAGAGAATCAAATTTCATATCGTTCATTTTCACTAACTATTTCGTACAATTTCACGTTTGAAACCGACAGTTGCCAATATATCGCGGAGACACGTGATTTCATCTATTCGGGGTACTTGTCGCGAATTCAGTGGACAACGACTACTAATTGCACGAAGAAACTGTGTATCCTAAAAGTTATCGATAGATATAGACTCTTTATGGTCGATCTTCTTGTCATGCTAGAGTAATCCAATATGATAAATCATATTAATAAATGTCACGAAGAATATATTACAGGCAGTTCCACGCGTAGATTATACGCCGAAATAGTCCAAAATCAAAGGGGTTAAAAATATGTAAACAGGAGATTCTAGACATGTAGACTGTACCAGTGAACCATCGCATCTCTTCCTACTAAATTAATATTCATCTCCAAAGAAATTAAGAAACCTATGTTATCGTTACAACATTCGTCATTCCGTCCTCGAACTGGCTACGCCACATTTACGCCATAAAACCTCCGGAAGATACTTAAAATTTCTATCGGTGAACATTCATTAGCACACGTCCAATAAGGTGGTTTAACCATTGACACAGGAGTAACTTCGTCCCAAGTAAGAAAATGATAATTTTCGATTTCGCAGCTCTGCAAATTGTTAAATTAAGTTGATTTCCACATGAAACGGTATTCCACAGAAAAATACCCGCAGAAGAGCTGCAAAATTGTAAATGATATTTTTCCGACTTTGGGACAAAGTTACCCCAACTTACCTGAAACAACCATAACACGCTTTAAAACATTATAAAATCTTGGATGACCTGAAACATCTCGCAGACCTCTTCTGAAATTCCGTACAGCTCTCCAAGCGAAAGAACCCCTTCGTCATCATCGCGATGTGTCACAATCGAACACACACACACACACACGCATACAGCTTTCCTAATTTGTCCATCAATTACATCGACCATACCACGAGCTCGATCCCTCCAATTTCATTCGCATAAGCGTCACGGGCGCGCACTAGTTGCGCCCCCTCGGTCTCGCTTACACCCCATCCCCCGTCAAACCCCCACCACCCCCATAATCAACTGCCTCTAAACCTAATCGGCCTAATGAACCGTGCACGGTGGCGACGAAAGAGTTCGATTACATTGGAAGTAGACCTGGATCCCCCTAGATTCGTTCTACGTGTAAACCCCCTGAATGTGTCCAGGATTCTTTCCAACCCCATATTAAATCAAGGATGAGACACTGACCATCGTCTGATTTTGCAACCGGTTCCAGGAGAACGTCGCCGTTCGAGATAGTGTCGAAGGGGAGTGATCATCGACGTACGGTGTGTGACCGCGTGGGTGCGTGCATGGAAAATAAGACGACCCCAGGAGTGGCCCGTGGTACGAAGGCGAACGAGGCGGAGCAAGGTGGCGGCTCCTCCGCTAACCGGACGAGCGGCGCGGTGTGAGAAAAATGTCGAGCGCCGCGGACAGTCCTGATGGGATGGCTTTGCAGTCACACTACTCCCTTCGATGGAACAATCATCAGACCCACATACTACAGGCGTTCGAGGCGTTGCTGCACGCCGAGGTGCTCGTCGACGTGACACTGGTCTGTGCCGAGACCAGCCTCAGGGCGCACAAGGTTGTCCTTAGTGCCTGCAGGTACGGAAACGTTTTTATTATTAGTAATTAATTTATTTCCACGGAATAGAAACCCATTGGATTATTACATAAGTGACAGATCTACAAAGACACGTACATACAGTACCGGACAAAAGTATTCGTACACCCTTTACAACGTAACAACTGTTTTAAAATTGGTACCCAAATAACTTAAGTTCTTTTGTGAAGTTAGGGACATTAGTTTACTAAATTATGTGTAAAAAAAAATATTGAAAAAGGTTCAATTGGTCAGAATCGTGAATAAAATAGTAAAGGTCGTTTTTTACAACTTTTTAATCTGACGGTATAATGAAAATTTAATAAATACATATCGAAGATTTATGTTAGTTAAATACATGTTCAATACTTCATCAAAATCGGTTAACGTTGCTACGAGATACAAACGATTAAAAATGTCGGAAATCGCAATTTTTCACAACTTCCGACCTACAATTGTACTAAATATAAAATTGCTTATACCTTTTGATGCCTCTCGCTCGTTTTTGTATCAACCGATTTCAATGAAAGTTTCAATATGTATATAACTAGTATAAATCTCCGACGTGTATTTATTAAATTTTCATTATAGCCTCAGATTAAAAAGTTGTAAAAAACGACCATTGCTATTTTCTTCGCGATTCCGATCAATTGCAACTTTTTCAATTTTTTTTACACATTATTTAATAAACTAATGTCCCTAACTTCACAAAAGAACTCAAGGCATTAGAACCAATTTTAAAAAAGTTGTTCCCTTTTAAATGGTGTACGAATACTTTTGTCCGGTACTCCATATGAACCCCAGTGCCAGAGTGTATTAAGTCCACTTCTTTTTATTAATGACATTTTACATGTTTCCTATGTCAAATTTTCCACTGGTTGCGATGGTAAAAATTATTTTCTTCTAGGTCGTTTAGTTTTTAATATACACAGTGTAAAAATAATATTAGGTCCATATTTTGTTCCGAACCAGACAATGTAAGGTTCAGTGCATAGGGGACTTAATGCAATGTTCACCATTTCTATACATAGGTATATCTAGACTTAGCGATTGCTTCTCGTTGAATTCTTACCGAACGATTCCAAGTATCAAGGTTTTCACACCTTTGATTTGCTCTCCTCTAAAGTTTGGTATGACTTTAACTCTTCGAAGAACAGGATTTTACCAGAAAACGAAATACCTACTTGCATAGAAATTGTTTTCTATAACATGTGATAAAGTAGTTTTAATTTAATTATTGTTTATTCCTAGTATGTTTCACGACTTAAAAGTGGTACGAGTAACGTTTCACCAGCAAGTTCAAGCGCTAAAAAACCAACTTGTTCGCTGCAATTGTTCGCTTGCATACAAATTCTGTTTATTAGGTCGCTATTGTTAAATCTGGATGTGTGTGTCGAAGGTCTAAAAAGTGCGGGAGTTTTAACTGGTTTCTAACTAGAATAAACTCTAACTAAATTTCTAACTAAAATTTTGTGTAGAAAATAAAGGCCTACTGAAACTCTTCTGGTTTCAAGCTTCATTATGTTGAAGTTTTGCATTATCTCGTTATAGTCATGATTGAAAGGAAGCATAGGTTGGCCCGATTTATATGCTATTCGGCGAAGTATTTTGAGTTGTGATTAAAGATGTAGTATGATGTTGAGTCTTTGAAGTCTGCTATTTCTGAGTATGAAGCCTATGGATCTATTAGCTTTGGATACAACGTCCAGAATGTGACACAGTTAAATGACAGCGTGGACGTGATGGTTACACCAAGATCACGTGTGCTAGATTTAGATGATAGTTGTATTCCGCCTGGTGAATAAGGGAAGATATAAGGGTTGCTTTTCCTAGTGAATCTCATGATTTGGCCTTTATCAATATTGAGATCCATTCTATTACGAACACACCATTCATCCAGTCCGTCTATATTTGACTGTGAGTTATAACTATCCGAGGCTGTTGCAATTCGCCTCATTGTGTCGCCAATATGTCGCATGTATATTCGACAATGTTGCCACAAAACCATAGACGTACAGGGTATGCGATCAAAAAGTTCGTGCAGTTGTTAAATTTCTTGTGATAGAATTATTCGGTAAAAAAATTTCTTTTTCCGTGAGGTTGACACAATTGTCTCTGACATCTGTGCCTATTTTCAGCAATATTGCTTGCATCGGTTAGATTTTACAGTCAATTCGGTAACTTGCGATTTACCGTAGTGAGCAATCTTTTTTAAGTCAAATCAAATGTTGAAGTCTTTCTTAATCTTTTTGTATTGTGTATCATGCATTTTTATCACAAGGTGCTACGGTCAATAAGGAATATTAATTAGGTGTTTTACGTCGATTGCGTGGATCAATCGTAGAAGCAACCTGATTTGTTGAAAGATAACTCGTAGAGATAGCACGACGATATTAACTTCTAACCAAATATGACACAGTGCTAATAACGCAGCCACTGTATTTATCTGATGCCGTCGGCGTTGTTCTTGTGTTGTTGCATATGTCAGTTAGTAAAACAATGACTGTATATGCATATTCAGATATGTGTCTTTCCCTTGTATCACAAAAATAAAGCATTCTAGAAGTTGCAAAATGAATGAAATAAAATATCACGTGTAAAAGCATAAGCATGCAAGTAAAAAAGAGAAAATTGTTTCTTGCAAATAAGGAAATTTATAAAAATTTATGAAGTTTTCACATTCTTAACAAACCATCGATAATTGTGAATTTTTTGCACACAGTGATTGTCTCCATTCCTTACGGTTAAGAATTTGTGTCTAAAATAACAAAAAAATCATGTTGTTTATAAATGACGCATCGTAAAAAGTTTTTCTTCTGGTGAAGTAAATGATCATTAAAAAACTGCACAATTTCTACATTTAAAGTTTTGTTCTATCTCATACCGTTGCAAAGTTATATGTATAAAAAGAAACGAAAAACCGTGGTAACTTTAAGGGCTGATTCCACCCTTTCGAAATTAATTTCCGCAGAACAAAAAAAAATTGCTCCTGGCATACTTCAACATTCTCTACATTCACATGAAGTTTCATTGAAATGAGAATTTTTGGATTGTTAACATTCCTTTGTGAGGATGATTATGAAAATTCTAATAAATATTCTTTTTGTGGTGGGACACTTCTCCAAATACTCTAATTTATACAATAGCATAAATGAGGAACAATTATTTCCCTCTTCGATAGGTAAACAGGAATAACAATTAATGACTGACGAATAACAGAAGGGCTTGGCACGCGAATAATAAATAATTGGGTTTACGAGTAACTCGAATAATAATTATTTACTCGTTACTTTTATGCAAATAAAAGTTTATTCAAATTATGCCCAACTCTGTTGTATTTCGTGTTCTTCAAACCTGAGATGCACTTCTGATCGTTTCCTTCATTGCTTATTGTGATCCAACACTACAATGCATTAACGTGTTAGCACATTGACCATTGTGTCATCCATGTATACGTAACGCAATTTTTGGTACACAGCTATAGATTAATCGTCGCAGTAGGATGTTCCGTGAAACAGACTTAGTTAGTGCCTATAAGTTTCAAGACAACTAAAAGAATAACCAATGTGATTAACGTTAGATTATGGGTTTTCATCTGATTCCAAAAATATCGTCGGTTCTGTTAATGGGATTTTTACGGGTGTTAAGTTGGTAGTCAAGATGATATCTTGTCATTTGAATTAAACTGAATCTTCTAATAATTTCCTACTTTGGTATTTACTTACTCAAAGATTCTTTCTTCAAAATGCATCGTAATAGCTGTAGTAGCGTACATCACATCGTATTTACGTTCACTGCAGGATATGTTGTTTCATATCATTATTATTCTGCTTTAATTTGGTTCACGAGAGTGTTAATGGACGAAAAATTAATCAATTGATTCTAGACTTATTATTTGAATATTATTTGTCCCTTGTAAGAACTGCAATACTGTTTTACCGTCGTTTATGTTCAATTTTCATAATACATACTTGTTGTTTCACTAACAAATTTTTAGCAGTGAAATAATTCTAGTGTGCGTATATAGTCTTGAAAAGTAATGAGAAAATAGGGTTATAGATTAACAGGAAATTTTTGGGATGCAGTCCCAGTATTTTCCTGTGGCTTTTCGCGAATCGCAGAAAATTATTTAAGATCTCGTATATTAGCAGTTTTGAATATCGAAATTTAATTATCATTTATTAGTGAAGTATGAACAACTCGTATGCTTGGCTCTATTGGGTAAAGGATAAAGGATAAATAAGTGGATAAAAATATTATCAGAATAAATCGAACGTTTCAGGGATTCAATTATTCAACGAAAATGGTTCTACATGGCCCAATCAAATATGATACCTAGTGAATCTACATAGCATTCGTAATTATGTAGTGCACATGGGTGTAGTCAGGTTATCAGTAAGGGGGGGAGGGAGCAAAAATGTTAACACATCGACTGCCACAGTGAAAAAGGCTGTACGTAGCCAGACACACTTTATTTTGTTGTTAAAGTCATAAATCGTTTAAATGCGTTTTGTTAATAGAGGCTGTTGGTCGTGTTTCAAATTATACTGCAATATTAAATATTACGCAAAAATTTTGTAACTCTAGGAGTGAGGGGGTGAGGGGCAAAATTCAATTGTTTTCTTGTAGAGTGGGGCAAAAGCAACTGTTTTCTGTCCAAAAGGGGGGGCGGCGTTCCCCCATGGTAGTACAATATACAATACGTAATACGAAATAGTGGGGAGAGTGTTTGACAACGTCGATAGCAATCTATAACGCCATTTTCAATATATCTTCTGACTTTAAACGTTGAATACATGTTGAGAATAAAGTGTACTTATCACGAATTACGTTCCTATGATACTTCTTATTACCACTTCTCGCTAAACCACGCGTGGTATTCAATCAAATGATTACTTTTTGTTACTGGTCTGTATCTCTTATGCAAACGACACGAACGAATTACTTTTCTAGGCGTTTTATTTTATGCCACAAAAGTAAAAAAATTATCATTCAACTATTT